GTCTGAAGTGGGGTAGGGTTTCCTGCCTGAGCAGGGGGTTGGACTAGAAGATCTCTAAGGTCCCTTCCGACTCTGTTATTCTAATTCTAATTTGTTTTATGGTACAAGGAGTCTGCTTTAGCTGGGCAAGATTTCTGTGTGTGCCACTGTGTTTACAAGATTGTAATCCTTGGAGAGAAAAAACAATTCCCCCCCAACATTTTCATAAGGTGAAACTCTGGATTAGGACAAAAGCAGGATTAGAACCCACTCTGGATTAAAAAATTCCCTAATATCTTCCTGTCTGTGAAAGTTCAGCCTGTAATAAAATAAGTTGAGCCTTGTTTATTAATTCAGTTCTTATTTATGAGTAATCAAGCCACGTTCAGATTCATTCTCCGATCTTGCTTGACTTAACAACCATGCTGATTTTTATTTTGGGGTGCAAGAATTGCAGGGGTGTGGCCTGTGGCTGTGACATCACTAGAGTAGGTGGAGCCAGGAGATCAGACCTGTTGCCTCTTCTATAGGTAGTCCTCGCTTAGCAACCAAATTGGGACCGGCAACTTCATTGCTAAGTGCCTGAGCAAAACGTCAGGGGACTGTGCTAGATTTACAACCTCATGTCCTTCCATCATTAAGCAAATCATCATGGTTGTTAAGTGAGACATCACATGAGCGCAATTGGCAACTTCCTCTGGGCTTCATCATTGTCTTCTGCTTGAATCATGTGATGAGATGGTCATAAGTAGAAGGACTGGTCACACGTAAGGCAGGAATACCAATACCAGTGTTGGCAAAACTTTTCAGCACTGAGTGCCAAAATGGGAGTGTGCACATGCGCATGTGCCGGAAACAGGAAGAGCAGCCACCCAGTGCGCATGCCACCTGATCTTCCGGTTTCTAGCACGAATGCGTGTGCAAAGGCCAGCTGTCCAGTTTGCGTGTGCGTGCGGGAAACTGGAAGATCATCTTCCCAGCACACGCATGCGCTTGTCCGGTGCTCCCACACGCATGAAGACCAGCTGGCCAGCGCACCACAATACAGAAGAGCAATGAGCAATGACTTGCATGTCTGGAGAGATGGCTCTGTGTGCCACTTCTGACACGCATGCCATAGAGTCGCCATCACAGACCAATACCTTCAGAGCCCAGACTTCACACATTTTCAATTCTTAATATCCCAGTTTCCCTCCAAAAGGTTGGAAATTTTTGCCCCATACCTACAGCATTTGGCTTCCAGTGGGGTTACTGGGGGATACAGGCATCTCTTTAGTCAATGTTTGGGATATCGGTAGTTTACCAGTGTTTCTCAACAGTGGCCACTTTAAGATGTGCGGACTTCAATTCCCAGAATTTCCCAGGCGGCTTGGGAATTCTTGGAATTGAAGCCTTAAAATAGCTCCCATCGAGAACAACTGGTTTAAGCCATTCTTCCCCAACTTGGTTACCCCTGAAATGTTTTGGAATTGTAAATCTCAGCTTTCCCAGTAATTACAGGACAACTAATGTATTTAAAAAACGGGGGGGGGATCAATATTATTGCATTTACCATGGTCTTCCTTTCTTTCTAAAAATAATAATACGCAGGCAGAGTTTGAATGCATCAATCCCAAAAAACAGAAGAAGAAAAGGAGCTACAAGAATTCAGGCATCATCATTGTCAAGTCCTGCAAAGTAAGTTCTGCTTCTCAGAAGGACGGATGGTTTCCTCTGGGCTTTTTTAGAAATACATACAGGCAGTCCTCGACTTACGACCACAATTGAGCCCAAAATTTCCATTGCTAAGAGAGACATTTTTAAGTGAATTTTGCCCCATTTTACGACCCTTCATGTCACCCCACAACCTTCCTTTCTCTAGACCAGACATACCCAATTCCTGCAGCCGTTCTTCATAGGTTTTAGTCTTCACGCCTTTAATAATCTTTGTTGCTCTTCTCTGCACTTTTTCCAAAGATTCAACATTTTCTTTTTGTAATGTGGTGACCAAAACTGGATGCAGGATTCCAGCTGTGGCCTTACTAAGGATTTCTAAAGCAGTACTAATACTTTGAAATGCTTAAAAACTTTGAAACTGACTGGTCATAAGTAGAGGACTAAGACAGAGATGCATTCCACCTTATGGCCTTTTTTTGCCACAGTTTTTAATTGAATCATGTAATCATGAAATAAATGGTCGTAACCCAAGGATGACCTGTGTTTATGGTCTCAGCACTGAAGTATTTTTTTAAATGCCCGTGCATAAGGGAAGGTAGAAGTGAGATACTGAGATGGTAAGGTAAAGGTTCCCCTTGCACATATGTGCTAGTTGTTCCTGACTCTAGGGGGCGGTGCTCATCTCCATTTCTGAGCTGAAGAGCCAGCGCTGTCTGAAGACATCTCTGTGGTCATGTGGCCAGCATGACTCAATGCCGAAGGGGCACAGAATGCTATTCCCTTCCCACCAAAGGTGGTTCCTATTTTTCTACCTGCATTTTTACATGCTTTCGAACTGCTAGGTTGGCAGAAGCTGGGACAAGTAACGGGAGCTCTCTCCGTTATGCGGAACTAGGGATTCGAACCGCTGAACTGCCAACCTTTCTGATCGACAAACTCAGCGCCTTATTTAGATATTGGTAAAAGTGTATAAATGCCACAGTGTGCTGTAATGGAAAAGTCCTTTTGAAGCCTCAGCGGCCTATTATCAAGTGGTTCAAATAAAGAACCCT